TATTTATTCTTTTTAGCAAAGTTCCACTTTTATGCTCGCAAACTAACTTACTCTCCATAGCCATTCCCGAATCACGTGCACGCAAAGTATACAAGGACCAGTACCGCACTCTAACAACTTCACCGATGCTCTCTGCCAAAATAGGAACAGGTATTTTAGCTCTTTTAAGCAGACCCTTCATAATCACGACACCATATTCTTACTCTTTGATACCATTTCAGCCCCTGTTGAGATCCGTGGTCCAATTAGACCATCTGTCCACTGGACTATTGAACGAGCTGTTGCTGTTAGCATGTTACCGATGTACCCGATGGCCTTCATATTGGACAATCCTATAATGAACTTTGTCACAGTTACTGCTGTTTCTCTGCATGCTTATTGGTAAGACCCTTTGAGACCCTCTCATGTATTGAACTTGAAAATAATTGTTATTTTCACCAAACATCGTTTTCAGGGGGTTTTACGAGGTTATTCGCGACTACGCTTTTGAGAGGCGCTACGGACCTTTACTCATGCCTATACTGCACACAATTTGGCGCATAGTTTGTATCATAGGCTACTCTGGATTTCTTTATTTCAATTTCAATGATATAGGTGCAATTGGAGCTATCAAGAAGCTTTGGTCTGTCTAATTTGCACTATTCTTTGTGTACCATTTCGCTTGTAGTCTCCAATAGTTTTTCGACTTATTTACTTTCTCAATATCAAAACGTGAAAGGTGTCTTGCTTTTCAAGTAAATTATGGAAGGTCATTCTTTTTTATTTCTGGTTTATATACTAAGCTCCCTAATTGCGTGTTGACGGCTGGATTCTTCTTGATCCCTCTGGGCATACTTGCTCTTCAGTCTCCTAGAAGTTGTTTACTTCTTCCGGGTGGTCTTCATGCGCCTGTATGCAGATTACCAATGCGCCTTGTTCTATTAAAATAAAACGTAATATTATTATTAAATGTCATAAAGTTGCATTCTTTCTCTGATACTCTGAATTTAGTATCAACTAAACTCCCTGTCGACATCGCCCGAGTGCTCGTGGTCTATATTAGAGCATCGATAGGGCCATAATTTGGCGCTTTTATTTGACATTCAGCGTTATACCGTCTTATATTAACCAAACTTCTCGCTGTATAATGCTACGGAATTTATCCCGTTACGAGTAAGCTATTTTCAGACTAAGGTATTAACTATAATCGATTGTGATGGCGTCCTTATGCTTACCTGGGAGTACCATGATTTCGTTGAACTTGTCGCGTATCCTCAGGGCTACTAATTCGTCTTTTGGGTTCAAATCCCTCACGATGTGCTCTGTTATTATTTTAAGCTCCTCCATATGTCGAGTGTACTGCAA